AAGTTTAGGTACAAGGAGACATGTAGCGTTTGAGTCGATAATCAGTGACGAGTCCTCGTTATGTTTGTAGGCGACCACCGTTACTGTTCAGTCTGACAAAATGTGTAGTGTGTGTCAGTACACAGTGTGTGCGACAGCTTGTCTTTTTGTATCAAATTCGTCATTGAGAATTGTGGTAGTTAAGTGGTATAGGTACACTATCAGATGTAAAGCACTGTGACACCCCGAGTTGAAGTTAATGATTTTTCATTCAGTAATTGTAAGACTTAGAGGTTTGGTTTCTGGTTATCACTCTGCCAGTGTCTGCACTCAGCCAAACACTGATTGTGAGTCAACTTTATTAAAAAAAAAATTTGCCTGTTTTTGTGCATATCATGTATTAATTTACTTTACGTACTGTAGACTAGCTTCATAGTTTTATTTCAGGATCTCCGTTGCTTTTGAACACTGCTTGAGTATTTTTTAATGTTGCTTAAATTTGTGACTGAGGGTAACCTGTGTGATGTAACTCCCTCCATTGAGTGATTGTAGTGGATGCTGTCTCTTCCACTCAAATCTTCCTATAAGACTACTTGTTCAATTCCGTTTGCATTAGGAAGAGGTATCAGTGGGATTTTAACATTAGTACGACTATTACTGATATTTAGTCCAGTTCTACAACAGTGTTCTTATTGGTTGTTTTTTATTTTCAGGACAAAAACATTCAGGAACCTGACTTAATATTGCTTTATTGTCTTTTTTCTCTCTTTGTCAAATCAAACCAAGTTTATTGTCATGTTGCTGTACATACACACTAGTACAGGCAAGATGAGAGAGTTTCTTCAGGATCATTTAATTAGTAAGTTTTGCGGATTGAACGTCTAGGATAGGCAAGACACTAAACGTTCATGCTCACTGTCTCCTGAAGGGGCCGCTGCGTCCATGCGCACCGCCATTACGTCCGCATGTTCACTTAAAAAATTGAATGCAGGACTTTTTCTTTGACGGTGTGAAGATTCGGTTAAAGCAAGACGGTTTATCTGAAGCTTCCAAATCACTAAATCTGCCCTGTTGGGACGACGAGCTTTTCAGTTGAACTAGTCGTCACTCATAACTTTTTCCAAACTGCAGCTCTGTATCACTTAAAATACTGACAAACTCACTGTACAATTAACTTCAAGTAATGATTGTGATTTGAATTTGGCAACATTTCTAAGTCAAATGATCGCTTATAGAGAAAGTTAGAAGCAATAGAAAGTCCTGGTCTCACACACTCATTCATGTCAGCTGCAGTATAATGTGCAGTCAATCCCACATCCAGCCTTGTTCCTAAAGGGAGTGCGGACAAAAACAGCTCAGCTAGATTCTCTGTGACGAACTTTCACTGTATGTCTCGAAGGAATTGTCATGTTTGTTCTTTTGCTTGTTGCACTTGTGGCAGCGAGTGTGTGAGATTTGACCCCGCCGCTCGGACACAAGCCTCCAGAAAACTATCTCAAGGTGAAAAATGCAGATCAGTTTCCTCAAATGTCTTGTTTTGTCCAAAGATCTTCAGTTTACTGTCACAGAGGAAAGAAATCAGAAAATATTCACACTGAGGAAGCTGAAATCACAAAGTTTAGACTGATTGTAACAAAAAGGACTCAAACTGATTAATCGATTGCTGGAATATTTGACAACTGATTAATTAGTTGACAACTAATCGATAAATCGTTGTCGCTGTCCCTCTAAGCGGCTGTGTGGGTGTCGATGCTGGCTGGTTAAACTCACTAGAACTGGATTTTGGTCCAGTAACTGTTGGTTCTGGTCTCAGTTGGTTCCACAGTGGAAACACAAATACTGAAAGGTTCTAGAGCCGATTGCGTACATGTATCGTAGACAAATGTCCTATCAGACAAAAATGTACAAGATCATTTTTGTGAAGCAATAATGAATAAGAAATCAGTTTTCTTAATGTTGCTCGTACCGATAGCAGAACCTACAAAGTTAGAGTTTAACGCTCCGCTGGTCTTTAATGTCTTTATCTTTGTTTAACCCAGGTACCATTTAATGCTGGACTTCACTGCCCATCACTAGTTTGTGGACAGTTTTTCTCAGAAAAAATGTGATTAAAAGAAAACTGGTGATTGCCATAAATTCTCTGAAGTGATGTATAAAGATTTTTGCATATCCCTACGTTAGCCTTGTTGATTTTTATAGTTTAGAAGGATGCAGAAAGGAATCAGTTTGAAGTTTTTACTGTTTCTTTTTGGGGATAGTGTCTGTTCCACAATTATGATGTACATTAGCTATCCTAAAAAGTTTCCTTATTAATATGATATTAAACTGTGAGGCCCCAAATTACAGTTTGGCACAGTTGAAAATGAGTAGGGATGGGTATTGGTAGGCTATGTCTGTGTCAGTATTGCTTGTCAAGATCGCTGCTTATGAATACTCTTATCAACATTCCTCTTTAATTTACTGTGATTCAATTTTACACACACTCAGCACACGAGGACTAAGTTTGCCTTTGATCTACTTATTTTATAACTGGAAGGACACTGGGAGATTGTAGATCTCTGCCAAGGTCAATAGTCCACTATTCTATCATGGGTCATTTCACAACCTAAACCAGATAACATCAAAGTGCTCGCATCGAAATTTGCCTTGATCACTTTTGCATAATTCTACTGATAAAGAGTAATGAAAGCACAAAGTGACAGATCAGTTATAGCTAACAGATGCTCAGTGTGAGGAAGAAAGAATCAAAGGTTGAGTTGTGGTTGTTTGGTTTCCTGTGCTTGAGATCTTTCACTGATCGACTGTCTCTTGCAGGCACAGAAGAGAAGTGAGTCAACACATGCGCATACATTGTTTAAATGCCTCATAACAGTTAACACATTATATGTAAGAAAGCATTAGAAATGTATGTCGTACATTTCACAACACAGTTTTGCTGAACATTGACAACGGGAACACAGTGATGCCACCACAGCCAGCCATGCTGAAGCTCATGGTGTATGAACTTAGCTGTCACTATAAACGTAAAGTTAATGTCAAAACTGTAATTCCACCTGGTGCTGTAACGTTGTAAAGATAATAAGTGTGGAGTTGTTTCATCTGATATCAAGTGTTACCTTTACTGGAATCGACTGGTGTCGTTAATCTGGTCTGTGGAGTTGTTCTGTTAACTCAAGGAATGGACTGGCAGGATAGTCACTGGAGGCAGAAGTCACTTTGCCCAGAAAATCAGACACACTTCAGAAACATGGCTGGTTGTCTCATTAATTTGCCTTATTTTTCCCACTGTTACATGCAGTTAGGCACAGAGAAGTTGATTTAAGGACTAGCCAAACACAGACAGCAAGCTAAAGCCCACTCACTTTCATTTTCCTGCTTGACTTTTCATTTTTTTTTGTGGTACTAGTCAGCTTTTGTCCGTGTTGTACAGTCGTGACTCGATAAACCGACACTAAATGTAAAACCTTCTTTGATGTCGGATAGCAAGGCTGTTGGATTGTCAAGACAGAGGTCGAGATACAAGGAGGGCTTGATGCTTGAAGGGTTATTTGTTGTTAATATTCATTGTTAATAGTTATAATAACTAGTAGGGCTGGTCTGAATAGCACTCTCTGGTCTCTGGATATTCAGGCCCAATTAATGATGAATATCTGAATATTCAGCGCATTCAGGGGACCACTTCCAATCCGGGGAGCGCTCTGACGGGGTGGAAGTGGTCAGAACGCACAGGCTAGTTTAGGATAGCAGTCCCAGTTCTGTTTCCACCATGGGTGGTGACAGTGGCACCATCTGTGTTTACGTCTGTAAACACTGAGCACGCTCGCTGAATGTGACGTCGTCGTGTCCTCTTCTGCGCATGCGGGACACTTTTGGGTCGTATGAAGTTCACACAGCAGATCACATACAAGTTGCATTTAATGTAAACAAACTCGCAAAAAAATACTGGATTTCACAAAAAATCTAAATTGAGCATTAAGTCCTGCAGTCTGAACATAGCCGATCTGTGGGATTGTTCAGTCAGATAATACGCTGTTATCCTTATTTGTGACATAAAATGTCATGTCGGAGTCGGAATCCAAGGCTGTTGGTATGTTAAGGCTGTTTTTCATGGGTTCCGTTCGTTTTCCTGTTGGATAGCAAGGTTTTAGATTGTTAAGGGTCGGATGATCGAGTCATGACTATATGTTGCTTTTTGTCATTCAGCTGCACACAGATAAATGTAAAATGCTGTCTTAAATGTGGTAGTTTACAAGCTGAAAGGTTTATTTTGCACCACTGGACATGCCAAAGATTTTTTTGCAGATCTTGCACGTGAGCAGATTGTCATTGATTCTGGTCTGTGGACAGCAGTGCTCAGTACATCCTTTGTTTTCCATTGCTGTATGTGGGAAAACCTCGTCACTCAAGGCCTTTCATTCAAGCATACCGTCCCTGCTGTGATCTCCCTCGCTGTCATGACGTGTCTCCCAAAACAAATTTTTCTTCTTTTTCTTTTTTCTTGAACAAATTCTTTGCAAGTGCTTACACTTCTAGCATCTAATAGCAGCTGGGCAAAGCTGAGAAGATTAAACGTGCAAAAGCAAATTCAGTCTTGCCATCTGATTGCTGCACTCTATTACCTGTCATGGTGTTGACGGTGTTCACTTTTTCAATCAAGCTGACAGCCTTGTACTGAGATGGAGAGATTTAAACCTAGGATGCCTTGTTAAGCAAACAGGTGTAGGAACAAATTGAATCTATGCTGTTACAATAATGGGCTTGTAATACGTAGTGATGGTTTCGTTACAGCTAAGGCAGATGTTTTGTGTAATGAATTGAATGATGCTGCTCACCACAGCGCTCTGCTGCCCGTCCCTGCCCCAGCTACAGTTTACAGGAATGTATGTCATAACTGTAGCTTGTTTCTGCAGACTTTACCAAGAGAGACGTGTATTGACACTGTGCATATGTCTGAAAGTTGAAGGAATTTGTTGGTACGAGGCTGACGTGACAGCTTTTATTCTCCGCCAGGCTTTTCACAGTTAGGTCAGTGAACTTTTAGTGTTGTTGGCTGTTAGTGATGCATTTTTCCTTCTGCTTGTGTTTTGTTGCAGGGACCAGTTATTCTCCGCAAGAAAATTCTCACAACCACAGTTCCCTTCATAGCTTCAACTCACATTCTAACCCCAGCAAGACCTCAGACACAGTAAGTACTGCCTCTGCCTCAGCATGGGCGCTGAAGATGGACTTTTTCATGGTTTCTCCAGTAGAATAGTCTGAATTGTTTCTGCACAGTTGCTCTTCTGTAGTTTTGTGGGTTTGATGTTGCATTTTGTGTCTAGTTAATGTTAAGATTAAAAAAACAGTTTGTCTCACTGTATTCTTGCACTATAATTCACAATCAAATCAATTTTAGCCCTCTTATGCTCATATTCTGTCTCAATTCTAAGCTCTAATCTTCTGCCCTGTTTTATGTATTAGCGTCAATTAATGTATCATATCACATTTTAACATAAAGAAGCACAGGACTACATTGTAAAATGTCAACTGAAGGCAAGAGATGGAGCACAAAATGCCAGTTACGACAATCCTTTAAAGGGAAAACTGGTGAAGTCTGGATACCTTAACAATCTGAAGCTGTCTCTGAAATAAACCCTTCCTTCCCACTTGAAAAGATTGTCTGAAAACAGCCCAACCGTAGCTTTCTGCTTGCAACCAAACATCTTTTGTACATTTCGGATTACATTACAAGCTCTTGCATCAGACCCTCTCACCACAGACACACACGCGCACACACACACCTACACACACACACACACACACACACACACACACACACACACACACACACACACACACACAATTGCTTTCTGTCTGGTTGGCCTCATGTTCCTAAATATTTGCTCCTTTTCTCAGCCTTACGAACCTGGTGACGACTGGTCAGAGCACATCAGTTCCTCTGGAAAGAAATACTATTACAACTGTAGGACAGAGGTGTCCCAGTGGGAGAAGCCCAAAGAATGGCTTGAGAGGTAGATATAATCCCTTGAGCCAAATGTGCTTGATTTTGGAAGCCTAATTTTAGTCTCTTGAATGTCACATAACGAATACATACATGAATAAAAGTTTGTCTTCCGTGTTTCACAGAGAACAGAGGCAAAAAGAAGCAACAAAGACTGCTGTTGTCAACAGTTTCCCCAAGGACAGGGACTACAGAAGGGAGGCAATGCAAGCATCGGCAGCGCCTGGATTTACTGGTCCTAGTAAGAGTTGCATATACTGTTACTACACGTTTTTCCTCATCAGTGTGCCGTGACTGATCCTAATGAATTGCATATGCTTGATTTTTGTGTTAAAAATTGCTAACGTTGGTTAGTCAGTAATGAGTGTTGTGCTAACCAGGTGAATGCTAAGAAGCTCCTTACTAAACAATTATGACTACAGCTGTCTGCACACTGCTGTAGCTTTAAGCTGCCTACTCTTGCTGTGTTCTGAGACTGATTGGGTCCATTCATTCCCTTCAGAAATCTTAGTAAATAGTGTATAGACCAGTCAGCCACACATGAAAACCACCTGCCTAATAGTGTGTAGGTCCCCCTTCTGCTGCCAAAACAGCTCTGACTTGTTGGAGCGTGCACATGGGACCTCTAGGGGTGTCCTGGGGTGTCTGGCACCAGGATGTTGGCAGCAGATCCTTGGGTCCTTGGAGTTTGGAGGCCGGCTAAACACTTGAGGCTTTTTGTTGTATTCCTCAAACGATTCCTGAGCAGCGTTTGCGTTGTGGCATGGTGCGTTGGGTCGGTGGCATCAGGAATTACTGCTTCCATTGGGAGGTGTGCTTGGCCTGCAACAGGTCATTTTCCAAAAACCCAAACCTTTGTGCATGTTTCAGCCCCAAGAACCCTCTCAAGAAGCTTTTACAGTGTCGATTTCAGGGGAGAGAAATGTCCCTGCTCCAGGCTAGGTACTGCTGTAGGGCCTTAAAAAATTGTGGTGCTGGTCTGGATGCTGATTGATTAAGCTCAGGGAGGACATCAAGCGTCATTTTTCTGTCCTCACAGTGTCCTCACTGAGTGGCAGTCTTCTCCTATACATTCTCTGTCATGCTTTTTGGGGCATTCGCAGTGGACGTCACAGTCGAAGCTGTCAGATCCTACACCGTAATGGAGACAGAAAGGCTGAAAGTGACGATTAGGGGGCCGTTCCTGGAAACATTTACATCACTGTATGCCCGGCTTTAATTCCTGAAGTGGGACGCAATCTGATGTTTGAGTGGATGGTCAAAGTAACATCAGAATGAATGCCAGGACCCAGGGTTTAAAAACATTACATTGTGTCAAATAGTCAACATCCTTCACTTCAGATGTCAGTGGTTTTAATATTGTGGCAGCGTGGTGTGTTTGAGTGGCTTTTGTGTAGTAAAGGTACAGGAACACCTCACAGTATTGATATGATTTGGACATTGCAACCGATCGACTCCAGTTGGACCCAGTCTATTACAATCAGAGCCAGTTAGTGTTAACAGGTGAGACATCAAATCTTACTTATGATGTTTAATGATCATTTATTTGCAGACCAAGTTGTTGCATGTTTTTTTTCCCACTGATTAATTACTGATTGGCTGACTACAGAAAGTCATGTTGTGTTGAAGCCTGTGTAGCAGAAAGACAGCAAAGTTTAGTCTGAGCTTTGCTTACAGAAGCATCAAAACTCAAGTGATCGGAGAACCCAAATAGTTTGTCATATTTGCACATTTATAAATTTTAGTGACATATACGTGCAAAATGGGACTGCAAGATAGCGCAGGTGGTTAGCACTGTTGCCTCACAGCAAGAAGGTAGCCGGTTTGCATCCCGGTGAGGACACCCGGGATCTTTCTGCATGTTCTCCCGGTGCAGCGTGGGTTCTCTCCGGGTTCTCCAGCTTCCTCCCACAGTCCAAAAACATGTTGAGGTTAATTGGTAATTCTAAATTGTCCGTAGGTGTGAATGTGAGTGTGCTTGGTTGTCTGTCTCTAAGTGTAGCCCTGTGATAGACTGGTGACCTGTCCAGGGTGTCCCCTGCCTTCACCCTGAGTCAGCTGGGATAGACTCCAGCCCCCCGCAACCCTAGTGAGGATTAAGCGCTGTATAGATAATGGATGGATGGATGGATATACACAAGCAAAATGCCTGCACTGTAAAGCCCTGAAGAGGTTGCATTACTATTAAGCATCACCCTGGTTCTGGTGAATGCCCCTATTTTTTATTTTTTTTGATGGTCAAATGTGAGATTTTATATTTTTCAAGGATTTCACAGAACGTGACCTGCAGTAATCTGTTTTTACTTTCATTCAGCATCTGCTCCTTTCTTACATGATGTGACTAAACAAGTCTGTGTGCTGGTGGGAGTAGTTGTTTGGGGGGGGACTAGTCTTTGTAGGGTATATTTCAACAATTTGATGGTCAGTTGTGAAAGCTGTGTAGTAGCATATGCCAAATTTATCTAAATATGCTCCTACACATTGTATTGGCTTCTGCACCAGAGCCAAGCCCAAAGGCACTCAGCATTGTCTCACGCTCACCATCTTTTCCTTAGATGTCTTCTAGTATTATAAGAATTCACCCAAAGCTGCAAAAAGCCAATTCCAGGCAAAATGTTGCAGAACATTTCTATCCAGAAGTGGCACTCCTCAATGAAATAACACAAGTGTTTACTTCCGTATACATAAATACGAAGAGTCTGGAGGTAGTGCCGGATGGACGCCACTTATCATGAATAACCTGTTTGTGAATATCAAGTAACCACTCCCAGTAACACTCTGTTTTTAACTGGCTTATGTTTTGATGACTACCTGAAACACCAGATGTCAGATGTGTTCAGGAATAAATGTGTTTGAAAACGTGATACAAAGAAAGACATGAAAAGACACAACCACTGATGTAGTTTGATGTCCTGGTGGCGTGTTTGTTTGACTGTGCATTCACCACAGCAATCCTGTGCCGATATTATCATATTGTCGCTCGTTGCCCGCAGTTTGTCACTCAAACGACACTGTCATTGGCTAATGTCACAGCTGGCGCCCCTGTTGATGTGTTGTAGAACGATTATGTGGATAGAAACACTTGCCGTACACTTGCATACTAAATGCATTTAAATCCGAAAGCAAGCGAACACTTTTTGTATATTTTATAGACCTTCTTTTTTCATTGTAGTTCCAGACACATGGAGGGCAGCTTGGCTGTACCGGCATCTCTGATCGGTGCGGCTCATAGCAACTCAGCCCCGTCTGTAATGTTTGTAGCGGTACACGCTGCAATTAGTCCTACAGCAGGACCTGTGTGTGGTGCATGCATCAGCCAGAGCTGACATTTCTGCCCTCAGGTCACAGTGTGGTAAAAATGAAATGGAAACTGACAAGGGGCATCCTCATAATGGAGGGTTTAATTTTAATAAATGAAATTTATATTTTATACATATTTTCATCAACATGTATAATAGATAAGCTACCAATGCCTGCTTCACAATAATACCCATGTTTGTTATTTTTCCGGATCACTTTCTTTAAAGTTGAGGTTAAGGGCGTTGGCCTTGGTGGAGGTCCTAAGTAGGATACTTGTGCACATCACTAAAAATCGATGTATGAAAACTGTACAATGCATTTAGTAGCAGCATGTATGGGAATATAAAGTATTATAGTAATGCCCCAAGCAGCAAAGGTTGATACCACTGAACCAGCAACAGTGCTTTTCTTTAAAGTTTTATTCAATCAGCTGCAACTTCTGTGAATTCACAAACTGCAGCTCTTGATCAGTAAAAGTTTTCTTCTGCTGCCCAGAATGTCTCTCTTATAAATGATTTATCAGTTTGACTTCTACCATTAATAAGAAGCTCTTCAAATTCAATACCATTATGTGTCTGTCAGGAATGTTATTTCACATTACTGGTTCTTAGAATTATGAACTACAAAGCAGCAAAAAACTATTTGGGACAAACTCCAAACATGTAGGCAGCAGCAGAGGTTTTTAAGAAGGTAGAATAATGTTAAACTAACACTGCTGGTGTAACACAGATGGTCTGGATCCAAGGCTCCTTTCAGTTGGACATCTTTCAAGTTCCTATCAGAAGTCTTAGTCAGATCCAGGATTAATGTTGGTGCTCCATCCAGATCATCCTCTAGATGTTTACTGAAGAAATGCTGTTGGACAACTGTAGTAATGTTATCCAACCATAAGCAGGGTTTTTGTGAGCAAGTCAATCATCTGCTGAAAGATGTTGCTGCTCTACAGTGGAGAGAACAGGTAGCTGTGCAGATGCTAATGCTAAGCAGCAACAGAGAAGGAGGGGGAGTGGTTCACAGTTTGATAATTATAATATTAACTGGATTTACTGAGGAGTCTATCAGCTGAATGACTGCAGAGGGACGGAGGAACACCTGCTTGTAATAAACAAGAACAACATCTGTAACGGTGGTAACCGTACGCAAAGATGACAGCTGTGGCCTCAAAATACTTAAACAATATAAACAATGAAAAATAAATTAAACTATTGAAAATATAACTGGCAAAAACTACACTAAATGTTTTTACTGCTTCTGCCTAAAGTTAACAAAAATCAAAGCTATGTATGCATGTTCATCTAGACAGAACTAAAAAAACAAAACTGCTTTCTTTTATGTGTCCATACTATTTACACAGCTTGAGGCAAGTTAAAATATGGATAATTATCTCATAATTGAATATCAAATCAGGTTTATTGTCATGTTGTTGTACATACACAGTAGTACAGGCAAGATGAGAGAGCGTTTCTTCAGGATCATTTAATTCGTAGGTTTTGCAGAATGCACGTCTGCAATAAAAAACAAGACACTAAACGTTCACACTCGCTGTCTCCTGAAGGGGGCACTGCGTCCATGCGCGTGGCCGTCATGTTGAACATGGTGAACCTCTTCCGGTCCTGGTGGGTCTTCAGGGACACAAAGACACACACGATGGTGTGACGATGGTGAAGCTGCAGATGCTGCCCAGAGCTGTCTGTCTGTCTGTCTGCATCCCCTCCAGCTGTATGTCCGTCTGGGATGTTGTCATGGAGCCATGTTTCTGTTAAAGCAAACACACAGCAGTCCCTCCACTCTCTGCGGGTTTCTCTCAGCAAACGTAGCTCGTCCAGCTTGTTGTGGAGGGAGTGGACATTAGAGAGTAGGAGGATGGTCCTGCTGGTCTGGAGGGGTTAGCCTTTAGCCTAGCATGGATCCTGACTCATTTCCTCTTCCTTTGTTTACATTCGTACCGTTTGCGCTTGCTTCTCTCTCGGGTAACTGCTGGCGTAGTCTCCCATCGGACTCTGTGTTGGTGTAGTATGTCCACATCACAACCGAGCGCCGCAATTTTAGCAACGTTCACTGTCCTGATGTTTAGCAAAGTCTCTCAGCTGAAAGTTTTGTGGAATGAACATCTGGGATAGACAGACACTGAAAACATTCACTTTTGTTGTCTCCCAAAGGGGTCGCTGCGTCTATGCCCGCTGCCATCACCATGGCAATATATAGTTTGATAAAGAAAACTTTGTAAAAGCTGCTTTTTGTATCCAAATCAGATAAATTCTTTTGTTTTTAAATGTTTTCTTGTGTGCCTTTTGTTTAAAGAAAAAACACAATATCTGATCAGTTTTCATTGCCTCCCCTAAGTTCTTTGTACTCTCCTAAAATGTGCAGCTTAGAAGCACATGTCCCACTTTGGGGGAAAACGTAAGCGTCAAGCCCAGTGGTGAGTTGTTAAAGGGGCCATGGTGCTCAGGGTGCTCGCCAGACAATGAAATACGATCTGCAAAATCTAGCTGGAGTAGCAGATTAATGTGGGTAAGCTTTATCAGATGCCAAAACAGTGCGGCTTACAGCACTCGCAGACAGAATTTTCACAGACAGAATTGCAAGATAACCAGTAGATATACAGGGATAGATACGCATTACAAAGCAATTTACCAGGAGTCTGCACTTGAAAATATGTGATTAATGTTGTGTTGCAGCAGAAGTTGAGGTTGAGTCACCTTTTTTTTTTTTGCCAGACCACCCTGTGTTGGAAACTTACTGAGTCGCTGAGTTGTCCTCATTCAGATGAATGTGAAGGCTGCGTGTTTTCATGCAAGACTGAAGTCAGAAGAGTGTGAACATAAACTTGTGGAGAAAAAGGATTTGTGACACTGCCTCTGTTGGTAAAATGACATCCTCTTTTTTTTTTTTCTTTTGTTTTCCCGCTGTCTCCACAGAGTCAGCCCAGGTGGAGAAACCTGCAGCAGCTCTTGCCACCCAGTCCCAGTCATCATCTTCAGGCTCAGGAAGCTTGAACCCCTCATCGGGACCACCTGGATCGTCTGCGTCCACAGTACCCGTGTCCCCAGTCCTGCAGTCCCCAGCTCCTCCCCTACTCCAGGACCCCACCCTGCTTCGCCAGCTTCTCCCAGCACTTCAGACTGCCCTGCAGCTCAACAATGCCAGCGTGGACATGGCAAAAATAAATGAAGGTAAGTAAAGATGCAGAGTTCAGATGCACATGACACATTCAGCCTGTGTCTATATTCAGCTAGCTGTGGCGACTGTTGAAGGAGCGAGACACTGAGAAATTACTCGTGCATCTCAAGCCTTAGTAACCAAAATAATGAGAAACCAAAAAGGCTTAAAATATTTCACTTTGCGTTTTATGAATCTAGAATATATAACATTTTTGCTTTCTTAAATAACTGGGGAAAATATGAAACTTTTTTCCACAATGTTCTGATTTTTGAAGTTGCACTCGTAAGCAATATGAAAGATTCTTGGTCTGACTGTGTTGTGTCAGCGGCTCGGACATGTTAATCTGCCCTTGTGGCCTTGTTACAGCAGTAAGTCTTGTCGTGCAGTTCTGTTTGTGCTACTTGCTGGTGCTAATTTCATCAAAACAGCTACGACAGAAAACATTTGTGGGCGCTAACGAGAACAAAAGATAAACTCAGTAATATTTGAAAACGAGAACTAGGATGCAGTGGTCGTACAGGTGCATGATGATCATTTAGCTGTTTTGCTGTCGTTTGAACCGGCACAGGCAGCTGCTGCGTTAGCCATAGTGGTGGAAAGTTTTATTCCCTGCGTGGTTCTGTCAGTGTGTTAAACGAGCTATTGAGCTGAGGTGTGTTCGTCAACCGACAGAGAGTTAAAGGTCCGACTCAGACTCAGATCATCGTGCAGGTGCAGCAGGAACATACTGAGCTGGGGAGGCAGTTAGGATGGCTAGCGCAGTAGTAGGGCTGTAGCGCCTATAGATAAAATCACTGAGGTTCATCTTGGGCAAATCTGACTTCAGAACACTTGATTTCACTCTTTTCAAACTCATTTTTGCTCACACAACTGTCTGAGCGCACCGCAGCCACCCAGCAGCATCTACTGCAACCTGCATATGAGGCGTTCAGGGAACATCAGTAAGTGTGGGGTCTATCGATAAGCAGATGTTCAGCTAGGGAGGTGCTTCGCCTGTGACCAGGTGGGAGCTGCAATTAACTGACAGTGTTGGTCGCAGCAGTGTGACTAGTGGAAAAAGTGCTCAAATGTGGCAGAAATCAAGGATGGATGAGATGTCGTAATGTTAAAAAAAATCATGGAAACGACGTCTGCTTTCAGACAGTCTCTGCTACGAGGCTGCTGGGCGACCAGTTGTGTTTACATAGGGTCAGTTAGACAGTCATCTGGATTTTCATATCACATTGTCCTGACCAGAAATAGTTGATTGATGATTCAGTTGCCTGTGGCAGCGTTTGGGGACTGAGAACTGAAGGCGTGAGTGTGACAGCATGATGACTGTTGGATGAGGTAGTGTTGATGTACACTTTGCAATTTTACACTATTTCTTGCTACAGAGACAAACCGTATATGAAGTTTTGTGAGCTGTGAAAAAACACAGTAAATATCATGACAGAGGAGGTGGGCTGAGGTTGAAACAAGATCTCTCCTTGTCTCTCCCGTGTATCACAGAAACCTATTTTTATGCATTTGTGCTAAGACAAAGGCTTTTACAACTAAAAATAGTCAACTGTCAATAATTCTAGACATCTGTATTTCATGTCTCAAGTGAGTTTCACACGTCAAACATGCCAGCCACAGTCAAAGGAGCTTGCAGGTGGTAAGCAGGAGTTATGTCTGATCCAACAGCACAGGGTTGTGCTAAAATTTAGAAGCAGATAGAATAGAAACAGATTTTAGATTTTACTTTCTAACCGAAATTAGCTCCCTAAAAATGCATAATAATGTCCTGATGTCGTTTGATTGTTTATAATGTGATGATGTGAGCACCACAAGTTTTTGGTCAGCTCAGTATCAATAACAAAGGTGACTTCAGAGTAAGGGCACCTCATTTAAAAGTCATTTTTCTGTGTCAGGGCTCCAGACTAACTTTCACTGCTCACACTGGTTCGACCAACATTGTCAGTTAGTTGCACCTCTGTCCTGGTCACCAGCAAAAGAACCTCACTGCCTGAACAGTTGCGTATCAATAAACACCACATTTACAGGGCGCTGCTACAGCTCACCTGGTTGAGCTGGTGTCCCACGTACAGGGGCTGTAGTCCCCGATGTGGAGGTCATGAGTTCAAATCCTGGTCATGGCCCTTTTCTGCATGTCCTTCCCCAATTCTTCTCCGCCACTTTCCGGTCTCTCTCTCTCTCGACTGCACTATCAAATAAAGGCAAAAAGGCCAAACAAACAAAAAAAACCCCACATTTACTGATGTTCTCTCAACGCCTCACAGTGCAGGCTGCAGTAGATGCTGTTTGGTGGCTGCAGTGCTCTCAGACAAAAGAAAATAGCTTGAAAAGAGTGAAATGAAGTGTTCTGAAGTCAGATTTGTTCAAGATGAAACCGAATGATTTTATGTACATGGGCTTTTTTTGCATTATTGAAGAAAACAGTGCATGTAAGCATGCTATGAGTTTTTAGGAGCGGAGTGCATCTTTAAATGTAAAGATCCCAGACGGTTGTTTTTCATGCAGCGATTAGAAGCTAAAGTCATGATTGTGATAAATATTGATTCAGCTTTGCAGCTCCACTATTCCATGAGCCACTGTAGTTTCTTCCACCGGTTCACTCGGTGTCTCCCTGCCTGCACTCTGACCATCAGGTGTGTCTGAGTTTGACTACTCCCTCTCCACTCGGCGCCTCTTCTTTCCTCAGTGTTGTTTGAGGAATGCACAGCAGCAAAATAGCACATTTTCAGGCAGGAACGGACTGAAAGAGCCACAGAAGAAATAAGTTACACTTTCCACCACTATGGCTAACGCTGTCGCTAGCGGCGTTGAGAGCAACACCAAAACAGCTGAATGGTCATGTTTCACTTGCATAATTTCAACCACTTGAAATTTGAGCTTGCACACGCTCAAAAAAAAGTCACGTACAGTCGTCCTCAAATGTATTCATACCCTCCCATTAAAGCAGGGAAAAAAAACAGCTGTCACTGAAATAAGTTGAAATTGACAAAAGTAATAATAAATAAAAATGTAATGAAAGTCATGACATTGTTTTTGAATTGTGTTTCAATAGAAAGATTAAAAAAAACAACAACAAGCAAACTAGCATGATGGGACCCGTAAACTAATATTTAGTTGAACAACCCTTTGAGCCAATCACTGCAATCAAGTGTTTTCTGTAACTCTCAATCAGACTTCTGCACCTGTTGACAGCTATTTGGATTTCACTGCTCATCAGCAAAGAGCTCTAATTTGACAGTTTTGTTTTTCTCAATTATTCTTTTCAACCACAATTCAAAAGCAATGCCTTGTTTCTCTAAATTATAATTTAGCAAATGTTTATTTATTATTACTTTTCTCAGTTTCTAGTTATTTGAGTGACTTTTGTGAATTTTGCCTTTTCTTTAATGGAAGGTTGTGAATACATTTGAGGACGACTGTATGCGACGGTTTTGGTGTGTATGTGAACCTAGTGGGCTTTTAATCATCTTTACTGAATCCAGGAGAAGCATCTTTTTTCCCCCAGTCAGTGGTTGTCATAATGGATTGTTAATTAACAATCATAAACACTGAATGTTGTTAACCTGTCTCTTCCTCCACGCCTCATCTGTATCTAGCTGCTGTAACATGTAAATTTCCCAGGTGAGGGATGAGGGATAAAGTTTATCTTGTGGTATCTTATGTTCAAACAAAGTGACATTGTTCCTGTGAATGGTCATAATGGGGCATGTTGCTGAATTTATCTGTCAGGTCCGCTGTAGTGCAGTGTGAAAGTCGTTCTCGTAGCAAGACTCTTACGCTGTGTCTCTTTGTCTCTTTAGTTCTCACAGCTGCTGTCACACAAGCTTCATTACAGTCGATGCTTCACAAGATCCTCACTGCTGGACCATCAGCTTTCAATATCACTACTATCCTCTCTCAAGCTGCTCAACTCTCTAACCAAGGTAAATGTACCACCACTGTGTGCTTGTATGATCTGTTGTTTGTGTAGTGTAATGGGTTTGCTGTGAGTGAGTTAGTAGATTGTCTTGATCCTTCAGATTGTTATTTGTGTGTCTCCAGCAGCTCAGCAATCAAACCAGTCACCAATGTCATTAACATCGGACGCCTCATCGCCAAGGTCCTATGTTTCTCCGAGGATCAGCACACCACAGACCAATGCTGGTCCTCTAAAGCCCCTCCTCAGCACGCAGCCTGTCATCTCACAGCCAAAAGTAAGACACAAAAATGTAGTGTGTTCAGCGAGCATATATAGTATCCAGTTTGGTGAGAAAGGCCGCCAGCTGGGTGAATATCAGGACATTTCCCCAGGGAAAATAACTTCTTCCAAGGACAAGTAGCATCAACAGTTGGCATGTATGAACATGGAATACACTTAGTGGAAATTTAAGCACGTCCTCTGTTTCTTCAGGATTGAGAAGTTTGTAGAATTTATTAAAAGGACAACATTCAGCTGCAGAAATTTAGATCCCAATAGAAGTTAAATAAACAAAAAGTAAGCACGCCTACTGTCTGTTGATTCACATTGTGGAGAGATGAGATTGCACCGGCATGCTTTATACTGAAACATTGTTATGTGTACGGCAGAAGTCTCGTTCAGGTTAAACGAATGAAAGACAAGAGAATCATGTGTTGCGTTACTTTGTATTGTAATACTGATCATACTGAATCATTCATTTGAGACTAACCCTTTCAACACTAAGTAACTTTGGCTTTAATTACTAGGAATATATGCCCATATGCCAGAGTCCTAGCCAGGATTCCTTTACAGCGTGCCGGGGGGGAAAAGGTCGGCAGCAGTGGCGAATACGCTAGCGAATAGCAGCATTAGCATCGAAGATGATGGTAGTGAAACAACGTCGTCGCTTACCCTCGAAAACAACGTATCGGCCCAATTTGCAGCGTAGTTTTTTCAGGCAGCAGCGTAACAGGCCATTACTCTGTTATGATGCTGGCGAGAACCCTGCATGCAATTATTATTATTATTATTATTGTTATTATTACTATTTGCATAATTTATTTCATGACTGAATCGCTTGTTCACATGCGGAGATTCCTACCGATAGACAATCAAAATGAATGTAACAGAAAGTCGCCATATACCAGAGCCGCTATACCGGTCCGCAGGGCTGACGGTGTGAAAGCCACAGACCAGTATAGCCGGCTATAGTGTTGAAAGGGTTAAATATAAACAGAGAATCATACAGGATCAAACTGGTGTCTTTAAAAGTCATGCTGATTTAAAAAAAGGGGATTAACTATGAGTACTGTAACACCTGCAAGCTTTATCCTTCGATCATGTGGAAAGGCGTTGATGCAGTAACCTGGTGTGTTTCAGGTGAGCGCGGTAGCAGCGAAGCAGGCGTCTCACAACCAGCCCACATCCCAGCAGCCCCTCTCCAGCGATAAGCAGCACAGTCACGATGCCACCACGGCCTCCCCACGCACCATCCAGCGCCAAGGGTCAGTATGAGCACACAACTCGCCAAAGACTTAAGCAGAATGAAACGTATAGTCATGGGCAGTTGATGTTTGAGTGCTAAACGTGGGGATTGTTTGTGGGTCCCGGTGTGGTTGTTCCACATGTCATGGAATATGTTTGGTTTGTAAATTTTGTTTGTAGCTTCCTGAGTAAATAAGTACATACAAGCTATTGCATGTATTATTTAAAACATTTTGATATAGCTTGTAAAACCCTTCTATGTCTATAGCTACTGATGCCATCAACACCTGTTGTCACAGTAAAAATACTGTCTCGTCTAAAATGCGGGGCCATTCAATCAGCTCCTGAGCAGTGGAGTTGCTACATGGTCTTCATTGTGTGGTGTCGTTGCACCACCTGCTGGTCACTGATGGAACAATAGAGGGCCTCTTTTATTCAGCTGGCTGGTTTCATTCTTTCAAGTCATACATTTCTTTTGTGGCACAGTTTCCACAAGGAAGCGAGTTTATGTTGAGGTTTATCAGAGGTGTTTGTTGCAACGGATGAAGATTTATGAAATCCCTGCACACAAGCTTACCCAGGATGTCTTTCCAGAGTTGTTCTGAGGATAATGCAGACACACATGGTTGTATGCAGGTCACAGAAGGCAGAGTCTGTAAAGACACCTGACTCAGAGGAGGTGGAAACACAGGATGAGAACTCTTACTGAGGTTGAGGCGTGCAACTAAAACCACAATTCACAATATGTATCACACCAGAACTTTTAAACCAGGAATCCGATTGTTTTTTGAATCACCAAGGAAGGAAGAAATACTTCCTTTACTGTCATGGTGAGCTGCTTTAAATATTCCCTCTCTGTATGAACACACCACTGCTATGTATTATTACTACAGCTCTGTATTGAGGTTTAGGGAAGTAGCCCTCGTGGAGGTTTGTTTTTGGTGCTGTTGGTCAGTTAGCAGGACAAAGTCAGGCAGAATGAAACGTGATGGAGAGGTGGAGCGAGCCAATCTACATCACTTTCATTGCAACAGAGGATGTAGCCTTGATGAACGTTTGTTTTCACACTAATGAGCACATCATGCTGTTAAATGATGGAAAAAATGAACTGAACAAGCAAAATGCAAACTTTGAAACAAATGAACGACATCAGATACTGACAGCATCATACCGATGTCCTCTGGAGCTGATAAGAACTGTGCTTTTGACCATTTTTATGCCTTAATCCATTCAAAACAAATCCCGTTGTGGTTTTGCAGCTTTACTGCATTGACAGGGTTCCCACACGTCCTGGAAGACCTGGAAAATAATTTAGTAATTTTCCAGTCATGGAAAAGGAGAAAAAAGAAAAGTCAAATGTCCTGGAAACAGTTAAGATATCCTGGAAAATTATTTATCCTCCCCCTGCCAATGCAAACAGGTTGAAAGTTATGCGCGTGCATGTCTGTTGTCACCTGATCTTCTGGGCAGCATTAAGGCATAGCGCCTCTCTGCCTCTAGCCCCACCTGACGCT